GCTTGAGTTGCTGTGATTCTGAGGGCTATGCCACCAGTATTTTAAATAACTGGCAGGGTCACCCATGGTGGACAGGTTTCAGATGAGCTTCCAGACAAAGACAGACTAGAAAGAAAGAGTGACAAACTACTTCTGAATTGCTAGTCACTGAAAGCTCTGTGAATAGCAGAGAAACATTGTCAGATACAGGACCGGAAGGTAGGAAGGCACTCAGAATGTGACTGGGGTTAAAAAATGCCGCCTCAAAGTAGAATTGACCACAGTGAAGTGAATAAAGTTAAGCTCGGGAGAGAAAAGTGCACAGAACCATCATTTGCTGATGGGCCACCCAAGATGGTGGCTCCTGGAGCAGCTGAGTGTTTCAAACTAGAAAGCAATGGATTTCATGCTTCTGACACAAATTCCCCTAGCTGTAAGCCTTCCAACCTTATAAATATTCCTTTATTTGTGGTTCAGAGTTCTGGGATCATCCTCTGAGCCTGCTTGGTTGGGTATTCTGTGTTGTTGCTGGCGGAACTCCTTACCACACTTCCACCCAATCCACCATCTTGTTTGTTCTTACAACTATGTTTTAAAACAATGTTAATGATATGAAAAGAGCATATTATGTTACATTTAACTAAGGCACAATATCATGCATATATGACTTTCTTCATGACTATGCATGTGTAGAGAGAGACCGAGGGGCAGAAAAATAGAGAGAGAAGAGGAGGAGAAAGAGGAAGGGAGACAAACAGAGAGACATTTACAGAAGATACATTCCAAACTAATAGTAATTGTTTGAACTGTGGGATTTTGAGCAATTTTTGTTTTCTTTTTAACTTTTTATTGTGAATTGAGTGGAAGTTTACAGAACAGATCATCAATCCCACATTCAACAAATCATACACTTGGTGTAAGTACAGTGATTGCAATCCCCTCCATGTCCCATCAGTTAACAGTATTTACCTCTATTCACTGTATTGCTCTCCTCCCTGTGTCTTCCACTGCCTTCAACTTTCTGCTCCGTGAATATTTTTCCCTTCCCTCCCATCCCTGGTAACCATCATAGAATGTTTCTTTTAGCCAGAAAACCTTTTCTTAACTTTTTACAACAGTGGTCTCAGATAATGTTTGTCATGTTGTGCATATATCTATTTGTTTCACAGCTCTTATTTCTTAAGAATATCCACCAAAAAAAAAAAAAAAAAGGAATATCAACCAAGCAGAGGGACTGCTGGCTCATAGGTATTTCTATTTCCAAATTTTTGAAGAAGCGTCATACTGTTTTCCACAGTGGTTGCACCATTTTACAGTCCCACCAGCAATGTAGAAGGGTCCTAGTTTCTCCACACCTTCACCAGCACTTGTTTTCTCTGTTTTTGAGTGTTATTATCAATGTTGGGGTAACATGATAACCTCATTGTTGTTTTGATTTACATGGAGTCTTGGTAAATTTACATTTACTGCTGCAGGATAATGCACTGGCTCAGTTTGAGCCACAAGGTCAGCAGTTCAAACCCACTAGTCCGCTCCTTGGAAATACTATACATGGTTGCTATGAGTCAGAACCAACTCAACAGCACTTAACAGCAGCAATGGCTGCTGGTGTGGCGCTGTCAGTTGAGTACTGGACTCTGAACCACAAGGTCGCTAGTTTAAAGTCCACCAGCTGCTCCTCGGAAAATCCCATACAGGATTGCCGACTTGGCTGCACTTAACAACAGCAATGGTAAGTGAAAAGATTTGACCAGTGATTTGCACATATCGTCCCATTTAATTTCATTTTAAACTCCCTACAAACATTTGCCTTTTATAAATGGCAACAGCACTTAACAACAAAAATGACTAATGTTCATATGTGTGTTGGCTACCTGAATGTCTTCTTTAGTGAGGTATCTGTTACTCTCCTTTGTCCATTTTTGAACTGGATTATTTGTCTTCTTAAGGTGTTGAAGTGTTCTATAAATTTTAGAGAATAATCCCTTGTCTGGTATGTCATTGCCAAACTTTTTCCCCAGTCTGTGGGTTCTCTTTTTACTCTTTTGGTGAAATCTTTTGATTCCCATGAGTGTCTGATTTTTAGGAGGCCCCAGTCATCTATTTTGTCTTGTGCATTGTGTGTTGTCATTTATGTTTGATAGCATATTTATGCCATTTATCAAAAGTCTTGTCCCTATTTTTTCGATGATCATCTTCATAGTTTTAGGGTTCACATTTAGGTCTTCAATCCACATTGAGTTTGCTTTTGTATATGGTGTGAGATATGGGTCTTATTCCATTCTTCTGCAAATGGACTTCCAGTTTTGCCAGAACCATTTGTTGACGAGACTATCCCTTCCCCATTGAATGTGTTTTAGCCTTTTGTCCAAGGTCAACTGACTATAGATGGACAGATTTACTTGTTTTTTAATGTGGTTTTTCTTTATTTTTTTAAACTTTATAATCAGAAATTTGGGGAGAAAAGTTAAATTACAATTAAGATCTTATGGAATAAATGAAAAAAAAATTAATTAAATGTTTGTGGGGAATGAATGATATACTATATGAATTATACAATTCAATAAAGTATAATATAAACTATAAAACTCTGTGGACATGGCAGAGTATAGCATAATGTTGCAAAGAACAGGCTTGAGAACTATATGTTGTTGTTGCTGTTAAGTACCATGGAGTCGGTTCCGACTCATAGCGACACTGCATGGGGTTTCCAAGGCTGCAAATCTTTATGGTAGCAGAAAGCCTCATCTTTCTCCAGCGGAACAGCTGGTAGTTTTGAACTACCGACCTTGAGGTTAGCAGCCCAATTCGTAACCACTATGCTACCAGAGCTCCGTTGAGAACTATATAGATTTGATTATGTATACCTACCCTGCCTCTTACCCACTAAGTGATCATGGGCAAGTTACACAACTAACTTCTTTGACTCTCATTATCCTCATTTATAAATGGCAAATGTTTGTAGGGAGTTTAAAATGAAATTAAATGGGATGATTTGTGGAAATCACTGGTCAAATTTTTTCACTTAACGTTGCTGTTGTTAAGCGCTGCCAAGTCGGCAATCCTGTACATGGTTTCTGAGGAGCAGCTGGTGAGTTTGAACTGCCAACCTTGTGGTTCAAATCGGCCTTGTGGTCCAGTGCTTTACCTTATAGTGCCACACTAGGATTTAATAAGCCTTCAGTATTAAGTAACTTTTAGCGTTAGCTTGTAGACTCTAATTACATGCACATGTAAATACTTAGGAAATAAATAGGTTGACCAAATATGAAATTAACCATGGCTTGGTTGAAACATATATGTCTCTTAGCTTAACCATTTTCTTTTATTCCTTGACACCTGCAGCTGGTCATCAATGCTGCCCTGGGATTTGACACATTTGTGGTCATGAGACATGGCCTGAAGAAACCTAAGCAGCAGGAAGCTGGGGACTTGTGTCCCAACCACCCTGTGGCATCTGCCGACCTCCTAGGCTCATCCCTTTTTGCCAACATCCCTGGCTACAAACTTGGTTGCTATTTCTGTAATGATGTGGTGGCCCCCGGAGATGTAAGTGGATTTCTTTGTGGTTCCAGTTATTTCTTAAGGCTATCTTGCTCACTGGGGCAAAGAGACCCAGCTCTTTAATTTATGACTGCTGTATTGTCTTTTAACAAAGAGCAGACATTTCCATTTCTCTGGAGAGGACATTATCCCACCCTGAGCCTTGATTGGCATCATCAACTGTGTGCAGCTGTTCCCTAGTCACTATTATCAATTCAGATGCCAACCATGTTGTGGGGAAACTCACTGAGGAAACTGCAGGGTAGACTGTCCCTGCTAGCTCAGCATTAGCTCTTGTGCTCGAGAGGTTGTAAAGACCCAGGTGCTAGCCTGCTCCTGATGCCGCCTCACTGCGTCATTCCAGTGAAATCTCTCAGGCTCCCCGTGTCTCTACAAGATGGGGGCTGTTGTTGTTGTTGTTGTGTGCCGTGGAGTCGGTTCCGACTCATAGCAACCCTGTACAGAGTTTCCGAGGCTGTTAATCTTTACGGGAGCAGAACGCCTCATCTTTCTCCCGTGGAGCAGCTGGTAGTTTCGAACTGCTGACCTTGAGGTTCGCAGCCCGATTCGTAACCACTACACTACCAGAGCTCCTTACAAGATGGGGTAGGATGGTAAAAACACAGGAATCCCAGTTAACTTTAAAGTTCAGGTAAACAATGAGTAACTTCTTAGTATAAGCACGTCCCATGCCATATAGGAGACCTACTTACATGTAAAGAATTCAGGTGTGGTGCTGTGGGATAAGCACTGAGCTGCTAATTTCGCCTTTTGGTTTGCAGCAGGGTGCTTAACCATTGTGCCACCAGGACTCATTAAATACAGTGTAAGGTGGTTACATGTGAAGGTTCTTGGACCAGCCAGCACCACTATATAAATGGATGATCCTGTAATCCTGTAGCATTGAAGACAACACACCAGTCAGGAGTCTGTCCGAATGGCCTTTTATCAGTACAAATAACAATTTCTGGTGAAGTAAAGCACTTTCTCACCTCCTTTTAAGTGTGTTCCTTTAAAATTCATATGTATTTTGGATGACTGGCTTCCAATTTAAAGGAAAAAAAAAAAAAAGTAAATATTGTCTTCTTTGAAGGAACCCTAATAGCATAATGGATTACCAGCTGGGCTGCTAACTGCAAAGTCAGCAGTTCAAATCTACCAGTCACTCCTCAGAAGAAAGATGAAGTTTTCTCCTCCCATATGGATTTATAGCCTCAAAAACCCTATACAGGGTCATTATGGTTCAAAACTAACACAACAGCACACCATCACCATTGTCCCATGTGAAGGAGAATGGCTATGGTCTTGATCAAGTTGTTATAATAGTTTATTTCATATATATCGTTGTTGTTAAATGCCGTTGAGTTGGTTCTGACTCATAGCAACCCTGTATAGGGTTTCCAACACTTTAAACCTATGCAAGAACAGAAAGCCTCATCTTTCTCCTGTGCAGCAGCTGTGGGTTTGAACCACAGACCTTGTGGCTTGCAGTCCAGTACTTATTGTAGGGTATTATACTATTCATGCAATTGGTTCTGCTATTTCATTATTGCCAACAAAAAGGATTAAGGATCAGTTACAGTAACGACACATCTGATCACAAGATGGAAATTTCAGAGTCATTCCCTAACCACCTCTTAGCTCTTAGCTTGCCCAGAGTGGGAGGATGGGGATTTCTTTGGTTGAACTAATGAAGACTTTTGTTTAAGAACCACAGTATATAGTTGCCATTGAGTGAGCTCCAACTTGGCAGCGACCATGTGTCTAACTGAACTGAATGTGGCCCAGTCTCATGCCGTCTTCATGATTGTTAGTTTGTTTGGTCCATTGTGGTGGTTGTTGTAGCTCTCATCTCACTGAGGGTGTCCCTTTTTCTCATTGGCCTCTACTCTACCAAACACCGTGTCCTTTTCTAGCGATTTGTCTGTCCTGATAACTGTGTCCCAAGTCAGCAAGCCACAGTCTCACCATCCTCGCTTTTAAGGAGCATTGAAGCCCTAGGATCATACTCAGGGTGATGAGAGGCCCATACTGTGAGAGGGACACCCAAACCAAGGACTGCAAGAGTGAACGGCACGAGCTCCTTAGTTAGGATGACAGGGCAGACTCAGAGACTTGTCCTTTGGTTACTCTTTCTTTGTCTCTGTGTCTTAACTCTAAGCACAGAAGAGTGGAACTGGGTTAGTTACTGGAGCATAAAGTAGGTCTCAGCAAGATTGATTGACACAGTGGCTGCACCAGTGGGCTCACACATGACAACGATGGAGTCGGAATTGTTTTATCTTATTGTACATAGAGTCACTCTGAGCTCGGAACCCGCTCTACTTCACCTAACAACAACGACAACGAAGATCCAGTCAGGCCATCATTTTTGGTGGATGTCCTTCAATATTTAATTTATTCATAGTTGCTAATTACCCAATTATGTATCTTGTTTTTTCTTAATACTAGCATGAAATAATACCTGAGGCTGCATATCCTTTGTCAAGATGACCATTTAGTTATATTGGATAGCTGTGTCATGGAAGCAATTCATGCTTCAGACAGCCAATGTTCAGCAGAATACAGCTTTTATCCTGTGGACTGTCTCTCTCCAGTCAACCCGAGACCGGACCTTGGACCAGCAGTGCACTGTGAGCCGCCCCGGTCTGGCCATGATTGCAGGAGCCTTGGCAGTGGAATTGATGGTTTCTGTTTTGCAGCATCCAGAAGGGTGAGTCTGCTGTTTGGAGATGGTTGTTGAAACAAAGGAAGCTTTCATAAGCAGTTGTTCAAAAGTGTCTCCCTTGGCCTCTTTTGAGTCTGACTCCTCTGAGAATTACATTGCTCTTTCTGTGCTAAAAGAATCATGATTAGGTGGAGTTATTGCTTAAGAGGTAGTAAGTTTCTGTTCAGGGTGATGAAAAACTTTTGGAAATTGTGCTGATAGTTGCACAAAATGGTGGGTATAATTAATATCCCTGCATTGTACACATAAAAATGGTTGAAATGGCAAATAGTTTGCTATATACGTATCTATGCCACCTCAGTACAATTTATGTAAAAAAATGGTGAAAATGGCAAATTTTCAGTTATATATTTTACCACAGTTAAAAGGGGAAAAAAGCAAAATTAGAAACAAATTCTGTTCTGCTTCTTTGGGGTAAAGAATATGCCATGAGATCTTTGGGGTTGCACACCTGCATCTTTGTGGAGATGAAATCTAATGCTACTTGGTAACTGATGAGAAGAAAAACTATTTTAATTTATATTGATGGGACCTTAGGGTCTTCATGTTTGAATTCTTTACTAGCACACACTATATGGTTTACCATAAACATAAGATAATGCATGAATCCTATGTTAGAAATTGCATTTGGCTATATGTAACAGAGTGGTGCAATGGGATACAACACTGGACTGCAAAGTCTGTTTGAACCACAAGGTCAGCGGTTCAAACCCACCGCTCCTTGGAAACCCTATACTGGGTCACTGAGTTCAGAACCAACCCAAAGGCACACTTAACAACAGAGACCCACCTGCAGGCAGATGGGATTTATTCTTACGTAACAGGAAGTCAGAGGTAGGCAGTTCACGGGTGGCACAAAGGCTCTGTTTTGCCATCACTAATGCAGACTCTTCCTTATTATTCACTCAGCCACTCTTGGCTTTCTTCCTTCTTCTTGTCAGCTTGTAGTTACAAGATAGTTACTGCTTCTCTAACAGTTAAGAAGAAAGGAATGGTAGCAGTGGTCAGCCGAGTTTGTTCTGTTTGAAGTAACTTTCCTAGAAGGCTCACTGATTCTGATTTCCTGTGTGACATGATCACTTGTAGCTGCAAGAAAGACAGAAACATGAGGGTCAGGCACATTGTCTCCCTGAATAAAATTGGGGTGAGAGAGAAGAGGAAGAATGGATGTTGAGTGGGAAACCAGCTGTGGGTCTGCCATACTCATTTTTTTTTATTCACTATATAGACTCATTAACAACCTGCAATATACAGATGATACAAACTTGCTTGCTTTACTTTAAAATAATCCAATAGAAGGAGAAAAAACAAGGGTGATGATATAGATAACGGGGGTTGGCTATGTATTGGAAATTGTTGAATCTGGGCAGTGTATACAATAGAGTTTTCAATACACCCACACATAACCCCCCACACACCCACACACCCATACATGATGATGAGTAGAAAATAATGCTATTGCATTCTAGTTCACACGTTATTGTTGTTGTTGAGTGCCATCAGTTGGTTCTGACTCATAGCGACCCTGTATAGGATTTCTGAGGAGTAGCTGGTTGGTTTGAACTGTCAGCCTTTACAGTTCAGTACTGATCCTACAGCGCCACATCAGGAGTCCAAATCCCATACCAAAGCTGTGCACATTTTACAGGATTTCTCCTTATTGACAGGCCTCAGTCTCCAGTTTGCCCGCCTCCCCAGGAGGCTGCCAGTATCACTGTTGAGTTTTTGATCCTCATAGGCAGGACTTCTACTGGCAGTCATTTCTTGGGGAAAAGTGACCCTTGTTGACCTTTACAGGCTTTTATCCTCTTACAATTCTTGGCTCTCCAGTTCTTCCTTACCTTGGTAGATTTGTGATGCTTTCAAGTATAGCTCTTTATGCTTTACCCAGCTTTTCTACTTACTCTCAGGTCCTGACCACCTAGTCTACTATTTCTACTCTAATTTTTAAAAATACTGTTTAACTTATTAAGTACTCAAAGTGTATTAGGCTTACATGGGAGTGTGAAGAAATTAAGTGGTCTGATGGCTTTTGTTTCAACTTGACCTTGGGTTTTTTAGTCTATGGTGGTGGTGGTTTGCAAAGTTGGTTCCAACTCATACCAACCCTGTACAGAGTTCTGAGCCTGTACATCTTTATGGGAGCAGAAAGCCTTATCTTTTTCCTGTGGAGCAGCTGATAGATTTGAATTGCTGACCTTGCAGTCAACAGCCCAGTTCTTAATCCACTACACTACTAGGGCTCCTTTTTCAGTCTACAACACATTGTATATATGTTATTTCCCTACATAAAAGTTGGCATGCTTCTCAACAATAGAGTTACATGCTCTTGAGTGAAGTAGAAGTGACACAAAAATTAATTTTAAAAACAGTCAGTGTAGTTAGAAAGAAGACAGGAAAAGAAGAGGCGAGAAAAGAAAAAAAATGCTAAAATAATTTAAGATTCTCTCTATCTGGACAAAACCATGCTACCACATGTCAGTCATGCCAGATTGAAGTCAAATGGATATTTACACCCAAATATTTGACATGAGACAGTTCCTGGATGACACAAAAGGCTTGTCACTTGGCTGCTAACTGAAAGTTGGCAGCTTGGGTCCACCCAGAGGTGCCTGGTGATCTACTTCCCCAAACTCAGCCACTGAGAAACCCTGTGGAGCACAGTTCTACCTGGACATGTGTGGTATCACCAAGAGTTGGAATCAACTCAGTGGCAGCTGTCTAGATTTCTTTATATATGACAATTACACTGTGATTTATTTTATTTTTCATATATTTACATGGTGCTTGAGTCCAGGTTTGGCCCTGTAGGATAAGCACTGGACCATTAACCACAGGGTAGGCAGTTCAAACCCACCGGCTGCTCTCTGAAACCCTGTACAGCATCACTATGAGTTGGAGCCAACTCATTGACACACAACAATATATAGTGCTTACTTAGTGTTAGATACTGCCCTAAGGAGCTCTGGTAGCATAGTGGTTACAAGTTGGGTCAGTTCTTCCGTAAGAGAAAAATGAGGCTTTCTGCTTCTGTAAAGATTTACAGCCTCGGAAACCCTATGCAGGGCTGCTATGAGTCGGAACCAACTCCACGGCGCATAACCAACCTGCCAACCAAAGGCACTGTTCTAAGCACTGTACAGATAATAACTTGTTTAACCTGCATGACAAACTTATCAGCAAACAGTTTATTATTAGTTTCATTTTACGATGGGGAAATTGAGAGAGAGAAAAGCTAAGTCATCTGCTGGAACTTACCCAGTCAGTGCTGAAGCAGCCAGGATCTAGTTTAGCCAATTTGGCTCCATACTGTAAACACCACGCTGTGTTGTTTATCATAGTGGCAGGAAAGTATAAAACTTTTGTAAGATTTATATTCTCCAATTCTCTGAAGACCCATATGCAAATTAGCATCAACATTTTATTTATTTTGTTTCTCAGAGCTTTTCTATGCAGTTGAAAAGACGACCTCTTGTATCTAATATAGGCACTTTGGAGTTAAATACAAATAAAAAGCTTTCTGTGCCTTATTCTTTGTGATCTCTTTTGCTCTTCTTGCTACATAAGTTTTTTGTTCTTTTTTTTTTTTCAGTTAACTAGTAATGTTGTAATTCAATGTAGAAAAATTTTACAAAACAAATTTGTTGTTAGTATTCATAGAATCTAAGAAATATTACATATAAGAAGTTTACAGATATATTTATCGCAATTACTATATGATTAAAATGGATAATAAACATGATTAAGGATTCCGTCTGATCTGGGGCAGGAGGAGGTCCATGGGGAGAAGGGTACCACTAACCCTAGTGACACCAGTGGGGTATGTCTTAAACCAATCACATCTGAGATACAAAAGAGCAAATTAGGCGTGGAATAGAGGAAAGATAGAGACCATGAGGAAGTCCTCACGGAAAGCCAAGAAGAACACAAGAGAAGCTGTGACAAGGTTTTCCCCCAGAGCAGACAGAAAGAGCCGTCCCTAGAATCAGTGCCTCAATTTGAACTTCTGCCCCCTTAAACTGTGAGAAAATTCATTTCTGTTTGTTAAAGCCACCCACTTGTGGTATTTCTGTTAGAGTAGCACCAAAAAACCACCCAAGCCCTAGACTGAAACTTTTTTCACTCACTCATTCATGTTACTGAGTCATATATACATTTGTCTGATCATTCAACAGAGCAGAATACAACTCAAAAAAAAAAAAAAAGCAGGAGGTTGGTCTCTTTTGTTCCCTATTGTACCACTAGCACTGTAACATTGCTAGACCTAAGATAGATGCTCAAAAAATATTTGTTGAATGAATGGGCACATTTGCTAATAATTTGAATGTCTGTTTGAAACCAGGCTCATTGCTAGGTATTGGGGATGAAGTGAATCAGATGTCCCAATATCAAGGAGTTCACAGGTTAGTGACAGAGACAGAAGAGTAAACAGACAATGGCATTAAGAGTGGACAAGTTCAGATCAAGTATCAATGCTATCCCCTCTGTATACAGGGTAGAGAGGGATGGTAAACTTAGACATTGGTAGCTAAAATGAGGGGGCAGTTAAGGGCACAAAGTGACTGGCTTACAAGGTTTCAAGAGGGAGCTTAGTTTAAGGGTGTGTGGGGGAAGATAGCGTCCCCACTGAATAGTTTTCATCTTGTCTAAATGAGTCTGGTAAAAGGAGATGGGGATAAGATTCTTAGGATTCAGTAGTGAGTAATTGCTATCATGACTAATTGCGACAGTCACAATTGTAAAGGTAGAAGTTTTGTAACAAAAACAGGGGAGTGGTTAACCTTACAGTACAGAAACAGAGGACCCTAGGACCATCAAGGGAGAAGAGCTAAAGCAGAATGCGGGACCTTATCCAGTGACACCAGAGATGGAGCAGCTGAGGATTCTAGATTCATGGAAAGAGGGACTGAGAGTTGGTGGCCACGAGGCAGGCTTGCAGAATGTGCCCTTTGGTTGGTGGTTTAAATTATTATATATGCCTGAGT